CTACAAAAACGGACCGACATAAACGTTATAAGTTTTCTTAAATATACTCTTTTTTTCCCTTTCGAATCGAATTAATGGTTTTATTTACCATCCAACTTTCCTCAGTTTCAAATCCACCTAATAATAAAAAAGAATATATTTATAATTTTATAACTTAAATCTAAATGTTATAACATTAAAAACACCATAAAACCTGAAACACTAATGACTAACAATTAATTAAGGTTTTTAGTCGACATGGAAAAAAAGCTAATGGCACGAGCGGGATTCGAACCCACGATCTTCGGCTAGATATGCCGCTGCTCTACCACTTGAGCTATCGTGACCTCGATCCACTCGGACATCAACTTCCTATCTCAACCTCACCTTATAAGTTTCCCTTCTTTTTGCCATTTTTCAAATGTCGTGTAATCGGTTTGGATTCTCGACGACAATTGAAATGGCCACGGAGAGCTTTAGTGAAGTGTACTTCATATTAATTCTTTAAATTCACTAATTTCGTGGTCCGCTTGACCAATTAATATCTTTGAATTAATTATTAGAAGTTAGTGTCCGAGTGGATCGAGGTCACGATAGCTCAAGGGGTAGAGCAGCGGCGTATCTAGCCCAAGATCGTGGGTTCGAATTCCGCTCGTGCCATTAGCTTTTTTTTCATCTCGACTAAAAACCTTAATTAATTGTAATGATTTAATTGGTCAAGCGGACCACGAAATTAGTGAATTTAACTAATGACTAAGTAACAGAGATTTGCATGTACGGCTTGCTTCTCTTCCCAACGTCAGATTTGTATATATGTACAAACGGCGTATATTTTTGTACAGATAATTCATCTGTAGGTCGGATTAGGGAAGTACATCTCGGTCCTTCAAGCTGAAACACGTGCCATCAAGGTGTGTCGTAGAAATCTTAAAAGAGCTACTCTGACAAAATCAATCCTCTTAAGATCGGATAGCCAAGCAGCTAATAAAACACTGGCATGTAAAAAAAAATCACGTCAAAATTAGTCAGCGAATGCTTCCAAAATATTCATAACCTGGGGAAACACAACCTGATGATATGTTGGGTACCACGATACAAAGGAATTTTGTGTAATGAAAAGGAACTGGTCAGATGAGGATCTGAAAAACCATATATCGGCCCTGAATTCTTGGGCTAACAAAAATAAACATAGAATCCACCATCACAGAATGGATTCAAACGCTTTTCACCGATTTTTTGTAGAAGGTTGATCGTGAATGATTTGTGGTTCTTTGTCTTATATATTAAACAGTTTACCTATTATAAATAATCAATCCATATATGCATTTAGTAGTCATAATTGACAGTATTAATTATTTTAATTAATTATACTTGTAATCTAAGGTTTTGATTTTTCACCTCAACCAAGACTTTAGATAGATAAAAGTATAATTAATTAAAAATATAAATAATATTATTATAATTTTATCGATTTTTTATTGCCATGAAGTCTATTATTATTATTTGTTTGCTTGTTTATGTGAGTATATTTTATGTAATCGAACTGTGAACACAAGAATATAAAAATGTTAAAATTTTATATTGTATGTAGTTATCGAAGCTAAAAAATTGAACTTTTTTTGTAAAACGAACGATAAACTTGAATTCTTTCGGTTCCTTGTGTTTTTGTCAAAGCTATGTAAAATTCTTTATTATTTGAAACGGTAGACTTTTTTCTCACGTGAAAACACAAAATAAAACCAAGGACGTGTTTTATACATTGCAAAGCCAGCAATTAGTGTGGGATCAAAGTTGACAATATAATTCTTCGGCAAACGCCTAATTACTTGCCAGTTGCATACTGGAGTGAGAAATAAAAGAACTTTTCATTAAGGTGAATTAATTTAAACAAGACTTTGACTTTTAAGTATTTGAGAAAGGGGCAATTATCCTATCCAGATCCACCAGCCACCCGCCATAGGCGTAATATGCTGATTTAATTATTTTAGTTTACAATGCAAATTTGAACTTAATGTAAAAATTTAAAACATAAAAAATTCAAAATAATCTCTCAAATCCGAAATTGTTGCATTAAATAAGTTTGGACTGAATCTTTTTGTAATTATTGAGATATTGTAGACGGCTAGCTCATCCACTTTTATAAAAATATCATGGGTAATTACTGAAAAATTATAATTTTAAATACATATGGAATAAATAATTAGCTTTGAAGGTAGTTGAACGACCATTTCCTCAGGCGTCTATCGGTTGACAGTAATTGCGCCTTTTGTACCGTAGGAAGTTGTTTTGTAAAAAGTTAAAAATGAGGAATAAATTATATTTTTTCGCGTAAACAACAGAAAAAACTTACAGTACATGTGCCAAGTAGGCTGAGAAAAACTGGTTGTGATAACACTCATTGATAAATAGAATCTATTTATTATAATATAATTTATTATATATAATATAATATTTTTCTATGTGAAAAATATTATTTATAATAGTTACACTGTTAAATGTAAGACAAAGAATTACAAATCATTAAATTAACAATCAAATACAAATCACGATCAATCTTTTACAAAAAAAAATTGATGAAAAGATTTTGAATCCATTCTGCGATGGAGGATTCTATGTTTGTTTTAGGTAAACCAAGAATAGGTTCAGCGCCTATAAATGGTACCCCATATATTATATCACTATGGTCGTGGTACTCAATATATCATCAGGTATAATGTACAATATTATGACATAATGGGCTTGTTTACAAATGAATCCATAACTTCTTTCTTAGGTATTTAATAAAAATAGTCAGCTCTCCGACGCTTTAAAGTCCCCTATGGGAGAACCATTTCTGAAGAATTTAAAGTAGCAGCTGGTGTTCCTCAGGTCGAGTGCTGGGACAAATTGTTTCTTGTTTACTTGTGTTTTATGCAACTGGCCCTATTTGAAGACGACACTGCCCATTTTACGACTGCACTATCACTAAGAGACTGAACGATGCATTACGTAAATAGGATAACTGTTTTAACAAATGGAAATTAAGTTTTATTCCTTGCTTGCTATTCGTTTCACTAGGAGATGACCTACTCCGATGACGTAATGATAAATGGCAATGTAAAACCGTGGTACCTCTCGATTACCGATTTACTTGGGTGTATGACTTGACTGCAAACGCAGTTTTACGAAATTTGGTGTACTGGTAGGAGATAGTACCTGTCAAACAAACTCATGTTTTCATTACTTATATGGAGTCGGGTTTGAATGGGTTGGAATAACGACTAGCTCTTATAATTATTCCTGTAGTGCCTGGTAGTCAGCGTGCATAGCTTTAGGAAACTGCAGGTCGCTCAGAATAAATTGCTTAGGCTGTGCACTAACTTTCCTCGTTCCCCAAAGATTGGGCTATTGCAGGAGATGTGCAGATTGGACATAATCAAAAGTTTGATTGAAGAATGCATCACAATGCCACATTCAGAAGGCTTGTGCGAATAGCCCTAGTAGTTTGTTTGCTGGTATTTGAATCTTGTTCCTAAAAAGAGAAGGCATAAATCCTTATGGTACATGTAATGGGAGCACTTTCTTGCCAAGTTAGGCTAGTACCAATCAATTAAGATGAAGACTGATAGAAATGATAAATGGTGGAGTGAGTGTGTTGTTCAATATTTTTAAAAAGATTTTTAGTTGAGATAAAAAAGTCAGCGTCACGAGCGGGATTCGAACCCACGATCTTCGGCTGGATACACCGCTGCTCTACCACTTGAGCTATGGTGATCTCGATCCACTCGGACACTAACTTCCCATCTCAAACCCACCTTTTGAATTTTCCCTCCTTTTTGCCATTTTTTATCTCAATTAAAAACCTTAATTAATTAAAAGATATTAATTGGTCAAGGGGACCACGAAACTAGTGAAGTTTTAAAAAGATAGTTCCTACTCACAGTAAGTTGTTTTCAACGATCCGAATTTCGAGCTTATAGCTCATCATCAGGTTGTAGAACTCCTTCACCCTGATGAGGAGCTATAATATCAAAATCCTGATCGTTGATAACAACCTACTGTGAGTAGGAACTATCTTTTTAAAAAGAGTGAATACTGATAGCCCAGTGTATACTGTCCCAGATTTATTTATTTTTTAAATCGATTTGCACTTTATTGTTGTACATAGTCATTCCCGGGATTTTTTTTTTGGGAGGGGACTATTTTTAACCATTTTCAGTATTAGAAATATCGACTTCTTTTTCACTCACGAACACTCTGGACAAGGTAGGATCTTGGAGAAGAAAGCAAATTCAGTTGTTACTGCCAAGCTTTCGACCTATTTTAAGTCATCATCAGACCAAAAACAACCTTAAATATGTCAAGTGATTGACATACTTTGGTTTTTTACAGGCGATCTCAAATTTCCTTGCAGATCGACTCAGTCCCAACATTGGCAAGGACTGTATTTAAAAAATGGCAATGATGGGACTGAGACGGTCTTCAAGGAAATTTGAGATAAAACATATCAATCTGTGGACATATTTAAGGTTGTTTGCCCTGATGATGACCTTAAAATAGGTCGAAAGCTGGGCAGAAATTGAATTTACTTTCTTCTTCAAGACCATATCTTGATCCAGAATGTTCGTATTTTGAACTATGGTGCGCACTACTGGGGAGGCAAGGTAGTCCAATACTGAATAATTGTTATTATTTGAAAATCGCTTAACTCCCCGATTTACTACTTGGGTGTGGTTGATTGTGCCTAATCTGAAATTAGAAGTATGCTCTCTCTCTAATGTTGACGCTAATAGGTTTGCTTTTAGCTTAGATGTTACATATACATTACCACTTCGGACCAAGGGGCTATTCAGTACTGAACTGTTGCTTATAGTGTGCTTAATAATAGCAAACAACAAAAATACGCTAACACAGATTTTATCATTACCCGTCAACAACCTACTTTGACAAGTTTTCCCAGTAAGTAACTAGTCCTACATAGCAATAACCCTTGGCGGTTCCTTAATTTTTAAACAAATTTTAAATTGAAAAAATACACTTACGAGAAATCCTGACGTGTTGTCTAGCAGGCATCTGAAACGGACGGTGAAACTTCTCTCCAGGAGGTGGGCCTGATCGGGATGGAGGGTGTCCTGGAGCTGGAGCCCAGACGACTCCTGGGGAAGGAACGAGTTCCACATCAGCTGCCTCTGCAGCTCTTCACGGTCCTCCGAATGTACAAGTTCGTACACGCTCTGGTGCACTATGTCGGACTGTAAAAGAGAAACAAATACTTCGTTAAAAACCGCCATTAATATTGGTCCTCCCATTCTCGCTTTTACCCAAGCTTGGAGAAGTACAAAAGTGAAAAAAAGCGAACACAGAAATGCTCGTAATTTTTGATTAGAGTAAAAACCAGGGAAATTGAATAGACTAGGCGGATACGAGTCGTAATTATCATCCACCAGGCTGAAATTTGGTCGCACACGATCCCGCAATAAAAATAAATTAGATTATCCCCAAAAACGATTATTATACAATATGTTATGATTAATATTGACATTCGACATTCTGTAAACTAGTTTACCTTTAGACCTAGTGAAAGGTCTAGCAGATGCGCTATAAAGCCATGTGGACTACCGAATTACTCCAATTAGACGGAAAAAAAGGGGGTTTGTAACATGTTAACACACCTTGACTTCCATTAATTATACTAAAAGTTTTTTTCTTCTTTAAGCGAGTCTTTTCCAGTAATTGGCAACTTCTTACTAACGACCGATAGACGATTTATTACCGCTCAATTAAATTAAGACTTAACTTACTCGATTATCTTGAGAAACTTGAGTTTGGGGCTTAAAAAGTATTCATTTGAGGAACCTTTTAAAATACAATCTAAATTAATTTTTTTAAGTGTTCCACCTTCGATGTTTTGATCACTGATCAGCTTGCTATGCTTTTGTTAATTAATAGTAAACCTTCGATGTTTTCCGAAATTAAATTGATAGTGAACATTCCACGGACAAATGTTTTTAATAATTTATAGTGAAGTTCGATATAAATCTGTAGTAAATGTTCTATATATTTTATCGATAGTAAATCTATAAGGCTTTTTTTAGGTATATATTACCCCTACAATGTTTTCATTAGTCTAGAGTCTAGTTTCGACGTATATATTAATCGAAAGAAAATGTTCTATATATTTTATCGATTGTAAACCTTTGATAGTTTTTTATTAATCGATAGTAAAACTATGGTGCTTTTTGTGGTTGGATAACCTCCAATGTTTTTATTTATAATAAAATGTCGATCTTTATACCTATAAATCGATAGTAAATGTCCTACATGTTTTATCGATCGTAAACATTTTATGATTTTATTAAACGATAATAAAACTATTGGGCTTTTTAATGTTGGATAACCTTCAAGGTTTATCGTTGGAGAAATATTGATGCTGTTAAAGACAGCCAGCCTTCTTTTCTCGGTGTTTTTGTTAAAATACAACCTTCAATATTTGTATTCATCGTTGGTGAATGAGTGATTCTGTTAAAGACAGCCTGTTTTCATACATTAATACATACATTAATGCTATTAAAGACAGTCACCCTTCAATCTCTGCTTTTTTTTAGTCACATTTAATCTCGAAGGGTTTTATTCATCATTGGTGAAACATTGATGCTGTTGAAGACGGTAAGCCTTCAATGATTTGATGATAATTGATTATGACTATTAAATTTTCAAAATCATTGCAATTTATTACCCGATCCGAGTTAAATTAAAATGAACTAAACGGAGAAAACAAAATCACAAGATATAAAAGAGCAACTTCATCCTGTGGAGTCAAGATGGAATATAAAAATAAAACATTGACAAAGTAATTAGCGAAATATAATCACCGGATTTTTACTGCTTTAACAACCTTAACAGTATGCTCAATTTTCTGCTATAACTTGTTGGCCGCTTGGTGAATTAATCTTGTGCCAAACCTGCATGAATTAATCCAACAACAATTAGCAGATAATTGAAAACTAACTACCACATACAAAAACTTAATTAACCTTGGTTTTTTTATTCAAAAATTGAAAACTTACGGTTACCTACAACATATATTTTAAACGTACTAACAAGTTTTATTAAAGAGAAAAGTGATATACAGAGACGAGTGAACAAGTTAAGTTTTTGATCTATTCGCTCCGGAATTAATGTGATTTGAATGTAAGAAGTCCCGCTGTAACATAATATTTCTGATATATAACTTAATAACTGATTTTGACAATATATAAGAAAAATTGGTTGAAAGGAGGCAAACACATGCTGTTGTATTATAACAATACTTAACTTTAATATTTGGTTAACCAAGTACTCAGAATGAGATGAAAAATTCGTTGTACGTATTTTTCGTAAGAATACCATGACACACTTTATATACGTTAAATATTTGGTATTTTATTCAGCGAAAGTCAATCTTCGAATGCTTTATTGATTGATAATATAGCTCTGAAGGCTTGATCGATATAACAGGCATGAATGTAATAATCGATAGTAACTTGGCTGCATTTTGTTCTCCGGTAAACATTTGCTGGTTTTTTTAATCGATATTCAACTTTAGATGCTTTTTACGTATAGATTTTTATTTTGTTTATTAATCCATAGTCAAGCTTCAAACTGTTGTTTTCATTCATAAATAGTTAACCTACCGTTGATACGTTTATTTATTTGCCAATTTACTAGGTTTTTATTAATAGATACTAAAGGTTTGTTGCATTTAATTAACGGCTAATTGTAGTCATTATTATTAATATTAATCGATAATCAACTTTCAATATGTAATTAATATTGAATCAATATTCAATTAATCAACAGCCAACTATGAAATTATCGATAGACAACGTTAGATGTGTTCATCGATCGATAATCAACCTCATATGTAGTTATTAATCGATTGTAAACCTTAGATGTAATCATTAATCGATATCGATCCCCAAGCTTCGACGTTTTTGACGATATTCAGCATAAGTTGTTTTTATTAATAGATAGAGAAGTAACGTTGCATTTAATCGACGGTAAACCTATTTTTTTAATTTATCAATAGTCAACCTTTGATATTTTTATTTATCAATAGTATACCTTCGATTTATTTTGTTGATGTTCTATGTAAGATGCTTTTATAAATCGGTGCTAAATGTTTCCTGCATTTAATCGATAGTTAATTGTTGATATTATTATTTATCGATAATCAACTTCCAATATTTTGGTTAATCAATAGGCAACCAATGATGTGTTATTAATCGATAGTCAATCTTCAAGGTGTTTATCTATGGAAAATTTCCTTATTTTTCATTGATCGATAATCTACTTCCCATAATTTTTTCATCGATGATTCTTAATCATTATTTAATTTTTTAATTTCCTTAATTCATAGTCCAAATCCCGGGGGGGAGCTTTCTTTGGTTGATTTGCCTGTATGTTGAAAAACGGATGTTTTTTTATCCAGAAGTCGTCTTATTAAATTGCTTTCAAATCGCCTGGGATTCTTCTACATCCGCTCGTTAATAAGGTGTGAGTTTGACGAAATAATTTTGTAGTTCTCCAGCGTGAATTAATGGTTGAGAAGTTGCGGAGAAGGCCTGGCAATAAGTAAGGCCTCGGGTTATGAAAATGTTGGACGTCGAGAAACGGGGATTCAAAGGGCATGAGACTACGGTGTATAAATCCTTAAGGTTTATTACTCAATTATGCAAAGAAACCCTTCTTCAGCACCTTTGTCTCTCTCCGCCAACCGCTCTAATGACCAAAACACCGAGCTCCCACTAGTTATTATAACTTTACCCAAAGAAGTTTAATTATGGGACGGAGGTCGTTTTAATTACTTTTCGGGCGAGAATTCCCCGTGGAATCTGTTTTTCGGGGTTAAGTCTTGAATTATTGAAAAGGCCCGGCTGCGGACGAGTCATTAAAAAGCCGAGTAAAAGGGCGAAATTGTATTATTACCTCAATTACAAGGCATATGGTTGATATTTCATTAAGGCCATATTCACCATATATGACTAGCGTGTCATTAGCCTGCCTCCGTTTCTTATCCTCGGTATCCATCAGTTATTAATTTAAGAGACGTCAATTGTTCTTTCTCAGTGGATACGGACGTTACTCATTCTATGAGCCGTGACGAGGGTTTACCTTGAACAACCTCAATCCAACTAATTAATAAGCCTGGAATTATTGACCTATTGGATAATTTCCATAATAGAATTAACTATTTGTTAAAGCGACGCCAACCCTACGCAAAAAATTAGTTTCTCTTGAGTAAAAGAATTTTTAAACAGTTGGATACTACATAGAAACGTCAAATAACGATCAAGTGCAAGTCGAACATCGACAGTTACAATCATCAACAAAACGCCACAATCGACATATAATTTTAAATTGTTATACACAACGGTAATAATTAATGAAACAAATCAGCAGAAAGACATTTGTCTTGCATATTGTTAGGGTATGATAGTTTTAACATTCGCATAAATGGTAGCAGCCTATGTTATGCGTAATGTGTACTTTGTTTTTTCTACTGTTTACTTTTTTCATCAGGTTTTATTTTCTTTTGTCTATCTCAATAACATTCTCCTGTTTCCAACTATTCTTGTCCTTTTTCTCTCTCAATAATTCTTCTCTTGCTCTCATCATTTTCTCCTTCCCTCTCTTTCTCTCGGTTCTTACATCTCTCTTTTTCTGGTTGTCGAGATTAGGTTGTTTTGAGACAGAACCTCTTATTATCTGGACCATGGTAGTGCAGACCATTTTTATACCAATCTTGGGAAACATGAACTTTAAACGACAGTCCCAACAATCGACAACTTGTTGCTAATTCTTGCTGTTTATGAGGTTAATGTCTTTAAATTTAAATCTTTTATTAGTGACATTCACCAACTTGAGAAACTTAAGTAATTTGTACCTAAAAACCTGTTAGTAAATAACATTGAGTTCTTTCATTCGAATTAATGTTTTTCCGGTGGCTAAACAACTAAAATTAAACATTTTTCAACGCGTTCTGTCAGAGTCAGAGTTCGCTTTTATAAGCGCCCCCTGCTTACCCAACTGGTAGGAAATTAATTTAAAAAAAAATGAAAAAGAAAAATCAAGATGACTTTACGAGAAAGAGTTCTGAAAAAGGTACATGCCGCTGGGAATTAATTTGGTTTGGTGATTTAGTAGCTGGCGATGGGTCGACAGGTCCCGAAGCACTGTTCGCACCAATACCGTGTGCCCGATCCATCAAAGG